GAAAGTTTTAACGTTTAAGAGAACTGAGGAAGAACTCGGAAAATTCGAGAATAAATTGAGAACAAGTGTTTGATTTCCAGCACTAGAGATAATTGTAAATATGCTTACCAGAAGAGTGGCATGAAAGATGACTCATTAGCAGGATAATTTACAAGTTACATTTTGTTAAAGATGACTGTCTTCTGGGTTGTTGCGCCGTATAGTCTGATGATGGAGGCAGCAAGGACCTCTTAAACGTCGGTAAACTTCTATCAGACTACACGGCCCAACAACCCAGAAGACAGACATCTTCAGACTCACCACCGTGAAAACCTCAAAACTTTATATTACGTTTTTGAATTGTTAAATGCCTGAATTTTATTGTAACGCAATGGTTCCTATTTTTTGTTTGTCCACAAAGTATATGAGATTAATATGTGCCCTAAGTTTTAATATACTTGAGAAATAAGATATCTTAAATTTGTTAAATCGTACTCCAAATTCGTCCAGAATCTGGTATTTTTATATGACTCAAAGTCTTATTACGGATCAATTTTACAGTTCTTAAGTCTGGTATTTTTTATATCACTCAAAGTCCTATTACGGATCAATTTTACAGTTCTTAACAAGTATTTTAAAAAAAAGTCGGGACAATTCAGCCCCATTCGTTAGCAAATGTTAAAAAAATAAGAAAAGTTATTGAAGAAGGTCTTGACCACATAGCTCACGTCAAGTGTGGGTCTTGCCGGCAACGTGGTTATTAAATGTTTATCAGGTCTAATTCGTAATCGGGAGGTCCCACCCCGAAACCGAATCCAGTCCTTCCAGTTGAATGCAAGGAGGTTGTACTCTAAAATAGGCCACGATCCGTACTTTTACTTCTAATTCATTTTACCAGATACATTCATTCTTCCATTTGAGTAACCAATGGAGTTGAAAAGTGTAGTTAAATAAACGAGAAACTGATGGATTAGTTATTAGGAGGATTTGAGTAAAAAATTAATTCCACCACAGCATTACCCAGAAATCCACACTAATCATTCACGATTGCCGATTAGTTTGTAGACGCTGAAGTTAGGAAACACTCAAATGCATGTCAAGACGATCGTGAACACTGGGTACAGGGATCTGAAAGGAATCGGAGAAGCTCTGTTAAGGCAGTCGACCAGGGCGACAGAAGGAATCATGGCTTACGAACCGACGTCTTAAAGAGGAAAAGACTAAGGTTTAATTAAACTTTTGTGGTCTCAACGATAATTTATTAGAGTCTGAAGATGAGAGTCACATTCAAATGCATCTTAAATCACGCAATCACCACGCCTACGCATGTACGAGCGCTAGACAGCTCATTTTTAAGTCTGAGCTCAACAGCTACTTATACAGGTGCCACACGAAATAATAAGCGATTGAAAGTTTAGATAAAAAGCTATAACATTCATATAATGGTACACACGTATCTACAAAAAAAATAACAATTCATGGAGATTTATCCATTATGGGTTACATCCTCAAAATGACCTCCGTTTCCATCATGAAACTTCATTTAAACTATCAGTCGAGATTCATTCCAAGCGCCAGTCTATTGCAAAATATCTTCCATGTAGAATACTTATTAATATTCATCGCAGGTATATTTTATTTATTTAGTGTTCTGTCTGACGACAGGTCCATATGAACAGGATCCTTCCATCCTTTTCTCGGACTGGGACCTGTTCATATACGTTCTTGGCAGATGATCCAAAAGTGGTTTGCCATAGCCTTCTTCTGTGTGTGAATGGAGTAATTGTTGGGATGCCACAGAGAAACCGGGGAAGCCCCCGGAGGAAAACTCCGTGTTGCCTAGACCACGGCCTTGCCATATTACCTCAAAACAATGTCTGAATAAGTAATCTTGTCATCAAACGACAGCAACAGTGGAGTAAATGACAGAAACACGCTCTAAATTCCCCATGCCTAGGTTATCAGATATTAAGATATCTGCTCTTCAGGTCATCTGTTCCAGTCTGAGAATATCTTATTGTTGTCATATTTCTTTAATTTAACGCGCTTAAGTTAATGGTAGACGCATTCCGATTTCTACAACCTACAATTCTATATTCCCGAACAGTGGACAAGTTACTCTGTAAAGACGAGATTTACATAAAGAGAAGCCTTGAAAATCCGAGCATGTAATCTTGTGACCATCCTTTATAAATATCACCTTCAAACCACTCCTCCCCTCCTATTGCTTACAGATGATTTCCTTCGATATATGTGTTTAAGAACCTAAAATTATCTTGTGCGGTTTATACAGAGGCTAAGGAAAACTCCGAAGAATATTTATGAAAGGTAGAAACTTAAGTTCTCGTAATAAAACTAGTGAAAGTTAATTACATTTTGGTCCGCCTGAGACTTCAAAAAATATTATAAATAGTTACAGAACAGTTAGTTAAATGTTCTGTTATAAATATATGAATAATATTTTATATCTTAATCCAAACAAAAAAATATTCCTTTCACAATAAATGCTAATGGAACTCGTAAGGAAATCATTTAAAAGGATGAGTAAAGTTTAGATTATTATTAATGTTATTTAACTTCTGAATATTTAGGCGACATCATCCACAGTATTGCCTCACAAATTAAGTGGAATTCTGCTGTACATCTTTCTGAAATTTGTTCCAGAAGGTCGCCATGACCGGCTGGTCAGTTAGACCAAACCACGACCTCAAACATGTCTAAGTCTGCTTAAATCCCAACGCCGTTTTACGCAGGCGCATAAATGGTATAAGAGTGAGTAACAACGCCCTACTACTAACATTCCGCCATAATAATTGACCTTCTGTTAACTCTTTCATATCTTTATCTCCTCCAGATCAACTCACAAAGGAGCTGTCGTAAGTTGCTGTCTTATGAGATGTATCGTCGTATAGTCTGGTGGTAGAAGTTTACCGACGTCTTAGAGGACCTCTGAGACGTCGGTAAACTTCTACCACCAGAGGACAGCCATAGAAAACAGTTTACTACGATTTTATGAACATTTTTTTTAGAAAATTTCGACGAGAAAGCCTTTCCTCTAGTTCGTCACAAAGATCCAGAGACAATAAAACATCCTTTACCATGTAAATGCGTGAATTCATTCTTAATTTCCAGGAGAACAGCGAGATATGTTCAGTTTCTTGAGGTCTTCTTCTATTGGCTGTATAAAATAAAACTTTGAAGTCTAAGCTGTAAATTTCTACAGTTCAATACATCCTATCGATGGACATAAAATTAATATTATAGATTCTATCTCTGAAAATCATTCAAAAATCTTAATATCTGCTTCAAAACAACGGAACTTCTTCATATAAACACGATTCAAAAGCTTCCGTTTGCCTCTTATTCCCTCGAATATACACGGTCATATGTTTCAAGTCTAACACCGTTAACTATTGTAGTTCAGTGCCACCTATGGGGAGCGTCAGTAAATTAAAACATTTCTTTGTGAAGCTTCCAGCATCAACGATAACGGAACACCAGCGCTTGGCCTTGTTTGCGGAAGTAACTGAAACCACTCCATTCGACTCTACTCTCCGTATTGTGCCCTATTCGCTCTGTTGTTCTATCCTATTCGCATATCGAACACTTGCAGCACAGAAACAGTATTATGAAACAAAACACTTCTGTTGTCCGTACCATATATAAATGTTTTTATGGAGTTGTGCTGTGGCTGAATAAATCTAATGGGAAAGAATCTCGGAAGAAAATTTCTTGTCGAGAATGATACCAGGGACCACAAGTACAGTAACTGATCCTCGAACACAGGTTATTTTATGGGAGAGCTGTGAACACATCGGCCATTCACCTCGTTCTTTTCTGAGCAGATACGAGATATTAAAAACGAAGTGGAAAGAACCAGGATTATTACAGGTTTCGAGGAGTGAAAAATGAACATAACCTAAATGTCAAGGGCTATGAGTGAGGTTAGAATCGAAGGAGAAGTTGAAATTTGATACCATATAAAAAAAACTAAGAATACCTGCATTATATCAACACGAAAACATGAGGCAATTACATCACTTCGACATCAGCTATTACCTGTCTAGTGACCCCGACCTCTCACTTTATGCATTCATAATAAGATGGTTTCTTAGCACGTGTTTGATTTAAACGGATAACGCTGATTCGAACATCCTAAAACGTCTAACAAAACAATACATACAAGGCAGATTTATTCTGCGTTGTATACACAGGTGTAAGGTTGAGTCCGTCCGCAAATTACCCGGAGGACTGCACTAACGTTGTTTGTATGCATATAAAAAATAGATATTCAACTGTTTCCGTACGTTCTTTGCATAAATGCATAGCGAGAACGGATTACGGGTTGCTCGTGTATGTCCGGTCGATTCAACTGGAGAAGTCAAATAAGGAATCTTAAAATCGAAGGACCAACATATTAATCAACTCTCTTCGAATTTTAATTACCAAATTGTCTTTAATTTAAGTCGGCTGGGTTATTAATTCATAGAGGCTTATTTATATAAACGTAAAGGTTATGGATGACGATGTATCGGGAGCTCAACACACATTACACTTCGTAACTCCCTGAATATATGAAGCGTGGTTACCAATTTGCGTTCTCGGGGAACTCAGCCCCCCTCGATTTTTATAAGATCATTATCATATTTTAGCAAAATGTAGATGTGTGGTATTTGGAGGACATCTTTAGGATAGCCTAGCCAAATTAATGTAGGACACACAAGGACAACGCTGAATAAAATGCCAATTGCATGTTCTACTTAGTCACAGCTGCAACAACTAGAGAAAATATTTGTTTGCTCTGGTGGTCCTCTCATTTCAACGTTTAGGCCTAGTTTTCTGTCTACCCAAAGATTCTGGACTCAAAACGATACGTATCACACAGGCATACAAAGACGTCCAGTACGTAACTCATGTACAAACGCAATTTTAAACAAGATAATACGTACAGACCACAAGGTAATTTTCTAATTATCATTAAGTCAAATCTGTAATAAAAATAGAATATACATTTGTCTTACCTCATAGTAAAATCATCGTTGCACAAATTGTCTTGAATCGCATTACAATTCATAACCAGAATTACACACTCACCACAAAAACTGTTCTGTTGTGTAGAAGCTTCTGCACCGCGTGACAATGCTGCCAATATAGAGTAGTAAAATTTTCCCTGTTCATACTGTAAAATTTTCCTACTTTTTACCTGTAGTCTGTGTAATGAAGAGTTTGTTTGTGTTTGTCATCCCACAATATCCACTGACAGAATCACAGAACCAGAAATTTTAATAATTTACTGGTCTGAAACTTAGATAAATGTCCTGGACATTTTACTTTGGTCTTACCCATACGGTAATGTTAGACGGTTAGTTACGGTTCAGGACAGGTGGCGGCGTCAGTGTCGATAGAAATTCTTCCTAACCCCAAAATCTACACTCAAACTCAGAAGTTCTTTTCGTGATTATGGTCTTTGTTCCTGTAGTCGCCTCTTTGAAACTAACAACTCTAGTCTTGACACAGCTCTCTGTTAACAGTGACCTCGAATACAACTGTTGCCTGTTATTTACTACGAACGATCACCTGCGATGCACCGAAAAGAACGCCTTGAAATTCTTGTACACTACCCAATCTTTTTTATTCTATTACGTACGAAATACGTAAAAGATATTTTTAAAGCGTTGTAAGACTTTTGACATCAGCTGTAATCGGACTTCTGTACTGGACGGGATAACACTCAAACACTGAAAAGTGTTGTAATCTGGATTCAAAGTCAGGACCTTCAAAATACAGGTCGACAGATTGACAATGAACAGAAGTTATTATACGTGTATTCATCGATAAAATTAAAATAAAATAAAACAAATTAAAATAAAGTACAAGCAGACAGACTCTTCTCAGAATAAAAATAAACGCCATCATAGAATTAGCACCAGAGTGCTGAAAGCGTCTTTTTTTTTTTCCTTCGACGTAAGAGGGACAAGGGGGCGAGGAACGCTGTAATTGATAAAGTGGAAATCAAAATCAACAGTAAATATTCAAACATGAGTTTTTTGTTTACGAGGTGAAAGGAACACAGAATCTTCCGACAGGCTGAGTACAAATATTTTATAAAATAATGTAGTTGCGTCATATTGTGATTTATTAAATTAAAATTAAATTATTTGGTTATTCCGTCAAATCACAATGTATTTAAAATAAGATAATTAAAATAATTAAAATATCATTCTGTGTTCCATATCGAATAATCGATTTTTAATTAATTTTAATTATTTTAATTATCTTATTTTAAATACATTGTGATTTGACGGAATAACCAAATAATTTAATTTTAACAAATATTTTAGTCGAAAAGCAGTCACTTGGAAGGACCAAAAAAAATATGTTGTACAACACTGAAAAATTTCTTCTTCTTATTATTATTATTATTTTTTGTTATTCTTATTCTTTTGATTTTTTCCCTGCTTCGCCAGGTTGGACACCCCTCACATTGATTATTCTTTGGTACATAATAGACCATTCAGGCCTCAGGAAGACCTCGACTGCCCCCTGAAGAGTTTTTACAGCCAACAGCGCTAAACCATTTTTGGGGACTACGTCTTGTATTAGAGCTCCGAACGCCTACTCCAAAACAGGAGTCTGGCATCGAGCAATTGTCACCCCAGGGCTTTGCCTCATTGAGCCATCTCTCCCCTGGCAGTATTAATGTTATCCTGAACCCACAACTGTTACTTGTTCATTAAATTACGCAACTGCAGATTCATATAATTTTTCACATACACACGATATTCCTTTCAATATTTTGGACGTAATGACTACGCAAGTGTTGGATAAAATATACAGAAAATCAACTAAAATCTACCAATAATTTGCTTTCTTTCGAAATAATAGACACAAAATACCTTCTTTTGAAATCTATATTCAATTTAAATAAAGTAAACCTCAGAGTACTTTTAAAATAAACATATTTTTATTTATGTATAAAATTTGTTGTACATAACAACAGTCCAGCCCAAAAAAGATTAGCACCACACTGATCACAAGGCACCACGGCGCTGGCAGCCAGCACCCAGCTGTTTTACGCAGTGGTTTCAAACAGCAAATCACTTCCAACGATCCAGCTGAGCAGTGCGCAGATCCACAAGACATCGATCAAGATCGCGACTGATTCTCAGCAAAACAAGATTTTCCTCAGTGCAGTTTCGACTACCACAGGTCCCAAATAGAACTTCGTGAGGGCCGTAGGTAAAAATCACGTCTTCTGTCTTACGTCACGTGTTGAAATATCAACAGATGACACGGTTTCACCAGGAATCTCAAGAAATTTTTGATTCAAGAATGTTATAATATAAATAAAATCAATTAATTGAATACAAATTTTCTTGGATATTATCCATCGTCTAGTAAATATAAAACGTAAAACGACGTTTCGGAGATGGGACTCTATCTCCGTCTTCAGGTTCCTACACAGTTGGGCCCACTAGATAGAGCTAATCCCTATCTCCGGAGATAGAGTCCCATCTCCGAAACGTCGTTTTACGTTTTATATTTACTAGACGATGGATAATATCCAAGAAAATTTTTATTCAATTGACTCTTCACCATCGTCAAGAAGTTTTAGATTTGATTCTCCGAAACGTCGTTTTACGTTTTATATTTACTAGACGATGGATAATATCCAAGGAAATTTTTATTCAATTGACTCTTCACCATCGTCAAGAAGTTTTAGATTTGATTCTCCGAAACGTCGTTTTACGTTTTATATTTACTAGACGATGGATAATATCCAAGGAAATTTTTATTCAATTGACTCTTCACCATCGTCAACAAGTTTTAGATTCGATAAAATCAATTAGTTAATGAAATTTAGATTGGATAAGGACACGTCATGACAGATAATTGTTGCAGTTCGTAACATCGTAAATAAAATTTAACAGATCACTAAATATCAAATGCGTGGCATTTCTTGGCTAAGGGCCCTTCTTTTGGAAGCATTTAACGTAGAAGGTGAGGCTACCTAATGCCATCTGCAGAGACTTGTCAGAAAAACATTCATTTCGTAGTTTTAAACAATCAAGCACGGTGTCATATGCATTCTTATACTTGGCACCAGATTTCCTCAAAGGAAGGAGCCCCCTGGTACCCACTGGAGACTGAGCGGGTCTCATGGTCAGAGAGGAATATCCTGCCGCGCTGAGAATCAAGTTAAGGACCTACTAATTATCTTAGCTGTAATTGTATTACCTATTTTAATCTATTATTCTTTTGATTATATATTAAAGTCTACCAGATCCAATTTCTTAACAGCTCAGATATGAAATATCCGACTGCTGGAACACGGCTTCCGATATTTCAATTACGTCCAGCAGGAAAATATAATATTTTGGTCTGAGTCTTTCAAATCAGAAATTTCCAGGATTTTGCCCTTCAAGGAAAATTTAATTTGGTATCTAAAATTTTTTTTCATTTCATTATCGATATAATTACGTTCGGACTCAGCAAACTTACGATTCGCAAGTTTGTCGATCGAACGGCTGACGTAATGAAATATCCTAAGTTAAAAGTTAAATTAATCTAAATTTCGTTCTCATTAACTCGATCTAACGCTGAAAAAAACTCACTGCTTTAAAGTGGATACTGGCGACGCACATTATTCCTGTTCTCAGAACACAAAAAAGTGTTCGATGTAATATTAATTAAAAAAAATAATAACAACGTAAATAAGTACAGGTAAGTGCATGATCAATCTGTAATAATAATGGAAGACAGAGTAAAACATACTGGAAATGAATTTTGAGCAAAATTCATAGTAATTGCACTTTATATGATGCGTAATAACATCAGCTGCGATGCAACTTCATTTAACAGTTATCATTCATATACATGTGGTATTTACAGACACTCACACTGCAAGAAAGACGATTCTTACCGGAAAGCCAAAACCAGACAACGTCACAATTAACAGACGCCAGAAATTTTATTATAAAACCTGAAATGATTAGAAATCCACGTAAACCCTCCGCTACCCGCGTACCTCGGCTGCACGAGATCAAAATGTTCTTATATACACAATAAACACAAGGAATTAAAAATATTTTTAAATTAATAAATTTTTTCCTGATATTAAACTTGACAAATGACGCAGCGGAAAGTTGAAAGGTCACCTCAAAAAATTTACAAAAAGTCAGTCACGTGGACACTTAAAAAATATACTTTACGAAAACTGTCTCGCGTGTTCCACGGACAAGCATCGGCGACCTTTCAACTAAGGTACGGGCATCGTAAGACGAACACGCGTAAGCGTAAGTCAGCGCAAATTTCATCTGTCGTGACGCGACGCAATCAGACACTTCCTATATTTCAATTGCTTTGTGATAGTCTCATAAATGGCTATACTGAATATAGAGGTGGTATGTTCCTTCGAAATTCTGGCATAACAAAATCACAACCCACCTTGAAACCAAATAAAAAAATCTTCCAAAAAAAAATTTCAATTTTACCTATGGTTTGGCGTTCCAGTAAAATGCTTTCTGCATTTTAAAAACGCACGCAAGTACGTGATCCCGTCACTTTCCACCGCCACACACAACGCCTCAGAACTCGCAATCCATCACAATCCTTTAATTCGCGCATCTTCATATTTGTACTACGCTAATTATATGTACATCGTTACGTGGGAAAAGAAAATTAATAACAAAATAGCTCTTTCAGTAGAATGCACAGAAAATCATAATTAAACATTTCTATACGAAGAAGAAGTACTACATACTTAACTAAAATGCTTGTAGTACGTGAGAGTGACCGTCCCACAGGCGGCAGTCACGTTCTTATGAATACAATTTGTTCACATCGTAATGCTCAAATCTGTCAAATCAGAATTAAAATACCAATACATCAGAATATTACGCCAGAGTTTACAAAAGTCGAGGAACAACGTGGAGCGACAAAACATTCTTTTCAGAGGGCGATGACGCATCCTGACCCCATCACCGTACTCCGTACCCCATGAAGTTAGAGAGGATTGTCGAGAACCATCGACCCTAACAGATTCGTCCGCACGCGCTCACCTGAGGAACGTTAATTCCGTGTGCGAAAACAACAGAGCAAACAGGAAAAACAACTGAAAACAGATTAAACGTATAAAAGTTAATTCATCAGACGATAGTAAAACTGACCGCAGTCACTCGGAATCAGACGCTAGCAAAACTGACCGCAGTCACTCGGAATCAGACGCTAGCAAAACTGACCGCAGTCACTCGGAATCAGACGCTAGCAAAACTGACCGCAGTCACTCGGAATCAGACGCTAGCAAAACTGACCGCAGTCACTCGGAATCAGACGCTAGCAAAACTGACCGCAGTCACTCGGAATCAGACGCTAGCAAAACTGACCGCAGTCACTCGGAATCAGACGCTAGCAAAACTGACCGCAGTCACTCGGAATCAGACGCTAGCAAAACTGACCGCAGTCACTCGGAATCAGACGCTAGCAAAACTGACCGCAGTCACTCGGAATCTGTCTTCGAGTTGTTTACGTCATATATCATAAAGGCAGCCGGATCTACGTGATCCTACGCCTAAACATGGACGGAGATCTGACGTGAAAATTTTATAACATAATTGTAAAATTTAAGTGTTCGTTTGTACATTTGTACGTTTGTACGTTTTCTGCCCTTACGAAAGTCCAAAATACATCAGAATTTTCTTAAATTTAAATTAAAAGGCGTAACAACCCTGATTCAGTTTGCTGACTCGACGTGTCACTCCAGAGTTCGACGCTCAAATGCCACGTCAGAAGATACGAGCGCCATACGTTAAAAGAAGTTAAAACTTCGCGGACAATTTTCTCTACGGAGGAAATGAATAAGTTTTAGTACGAAACTAAGGAAATTTAACACTAAAAACTTTATCGCACTGGAAAAAGTTATTTAAATGCCCATATTATTGGGGAGGGGGGTGCTGGCTGCACTTTTAACCTTTGAATAAACGGTTTAGTAGTGCGTTAGAGCGATACTGGGGCAGTTGGATCGTTCATGAGCTGAAGAACGTGAGTCGAAAGAATTAACATCCTTATGGCGCAACTGATATTCGAGACTGCGACCGACCACATCTAAAACGGTCGTCCCGTCGAACCAATTTTGGACAGGTTCATCCGACGTAAAATAATTCCTACAATAATTTAAAAGACGAATTCTAACGCAACTGAAGTACCTGCCAAATTTTCATCCGTCTCACCAAATTTAGCCAGAAATTATTAGTTTAGTCTCGATTCCAGGTGACAGATTAAATTTTCTCTAACGTCTCTCAGCTTCGTGACGTGCGGAATGTTTCTTTGATGTCAGTCAGGATTTCAAGTAAAATTTAATGATGACGTTTAAAATACACATCGGAAACACAGAGAGAGACGAACGTCGTGCACTTCTGAAAGACGAATTTGGAGTGGAAACCCAAAAACTCCTTCTTAAAATGTTGCCTCGATGCGTTCAAATAAGAATCTTCTGTTCCGAAAATTCAGAACAGTTGGTTACGCGTTTTAACATCTCCGGAAGTTTCGAAAACGTCTAAAGGATCAATGGAACCGTTCTTCAAGATCAACAATCTTAAGTTTTTTTTTTTCACGGCTTACATTATCATTGGTTAAAAAGACTGTCAACTTCACTGGTCGATCAATCGACTCTTTTGCTGTATCATTACGAAATTGTAAAAAATTCATTGATTTGTTACGCCATTCTCCGGGCCCCCTACAAATGCTGGGTTTAGAGTTTCCAGCGTCTTTCCCTTGCCATTGGTGTGACCGTTCGTAGCGTCGGGATGTCCCGTCGTGGTCGGAGGTTTCTTTTCCGGCTTCACGTAATGGCTGGTTCCCTCGAGGTTCAGGGTCTCTTGGCGTCCGCTACTTCGGATAAGGCACGTCACGGCTATGACCAACAAGACGATTCCCAGAGCAAATAGTCCATAGGCGATGACAGCGCGAGCGATGGGCGGAGCATTCGTAGCCAGACTCAACATGTCCGTGACTTCCTCCGGAAGATGATCGATGCCCTGGGAAGAAATTTCAAAAGTCATCAAGTTCAGACGTTTTTTGAATTCCTATCTGACACGCAATATCAGGGGACACTTACTTCTTCAAACCACATGATGGGGAACACAATGTCAGGGAAGGTGGCGACCTGCTTGATGTCAACAACTTGACTCACGGCCAAGTTCAGCTGAATCCTTGCCCGGGCGCCCAAGGCCACGCCCATTTGCTGAAACAGGAATCTCAACATCACGCAAACCAAAAACAAAAAAAAAATCTATGAAAAAGGCAACTGTGAATTTCAGGATATTATTAAAATAAGTCTTGGTGCAGGAAGTTACGTAGATTCAAATTTATCCAGCTCAAAGTAAACGCTGCAACTGCAAAATCCTGCCACTAAAATGGTGAGAATTTTGATTTTTTCAACAAGAAATTTATTGATTAGCTCAAAGAATCTTTTACACTCGTACATCATACGTGTGAAGGTAGAAGATTCTGCGTCATCGAAGTAAGTCAAACACTTTCTATCAAAATATGATAAAATCTTTTATTATATATAAATTACAAGTAGCAATGATAACTAACTAACTAACTAGATGGGGCTTACTGAACCCGAAGGTTCATCACCGAATCAACCAAAGCCCTCCACCGGACCCTGTCCTGGGCCAACAAAATCCAGTCTCCTTCAACTCCTATCTCCCATAGATCCCGCCTGAGATTAACCTCCCATCTACGTCTAGGTCTCTCCAGGGGCCTCTTCCCCTCAGGCTTCCCAAGTAGTGGACCCAACCAACCAGATGGCTTACCGAACCCGAAGGTTCATCACCGAATCAACCAAAGCCCTCCACCGAACCCTGTCCTGGGCCAACAAAATCCAGTTTCCTTCAACTCCTATCTCGGATAGATCCCGCCTGAGATTATCCTCCCATCTA